GTATCATAACAAAACAATAAACAATCACGTGATCTCGTGTTATGATACGAGATTTTTGTAAAATTATTTTCTAAAAATATTAAGTTTAAAAATTCCGTATACATTCCGCATGATTAATTTTTTCCGTATACATTTTGTATACATTAGTTTTTTTAAAAGATGTTCAAAAATGAATTGCTTATTAAATACACGGAATTTGTATACGGAATCTATAGAAACGTACATAAAATGTATACAAAACGTATCCTTTCCGTATACATATTTCTTATAGGGGGTATGTTTATTGAATAATTATTTATTAACAAATAAATATCTCCAGCAATTCATTCACGCACATGGAGTGTTCCAAAGAGGGACTCCTTGGTATGTAATTATCGGCTATAGTTAATGATTTTTTTTTATTAAAATAAATGACTAATTTATAATCAATTTTTAGGTTTGACGGGGTGGCAGGACAAGTGAGTTCAATCAATTCATGTTCTTAAATAAGCGTCTTTACGTAACTTACACATTCTAATTCTATATTTCCGTTTCTCGTTCACTGGTAATATATAACATTGTCAGACTCAATGTTTGATACCAGACAATTACGCATTTACTTATGATTTTACTGTTCCTGATCAAGCCGGCACTTATTGGTAGTAAGTATATACAATTTTCTTTTTGAATGGTGAAACTGAAATGTCTAACGTGATATCACCGAATTTTAGCCATTCACACGCATTGACGCAATATGTCGATGGGAGTTGTTGGAGCGTTAAGTAAGTTAATAATTCATATTTAAGTCGACTATTTTTTTTTTTTTTTGGAATTTTAAAACGCTTTTTTTTCATTTTCATTTTATCAGTCATTCACGATCCTGATGACCCGTATTTAAATGAATACGATGAGGAAATCATCGTCATGTTGACTGATTATCATCACACGGAATCAGAAATTTTATTAAAAAAATTCTTGACTCCTTCAAGCGAAGGCGATGAGGTAAATTAAAGTTGATCTACAATTGTTTTAATTTCATGTTAATTGATTTATATTTATATTTATATTTTTAATAAAAAATTTACATTATTAATAATTTATATTAGGCAGGTAAGGACAATAAGAAATGTCATCATACAATGACGCAATAGACGCATGGCGTTAATTTAAACTCTTGTTTAGTTCCCGATAACGGATAGATCAACGGAAAAAATAATTTCGATTGTTCACAAGCTCCACATGTATCCAAATGCGTGGATAATTCTGGTCTTGCTAAATTTGAATTTGTTTCTAATAAAAGATATCGTCTTCGTATCATTAATACTAGGTAAATTTACGTATTTACGTCATTATAGTATCAATACAATTTAAAATTTTAATAATTCATTATGTGTTGTTTCATAACCTCTTATCTTTCAGCGCATTTTCGGCATTCTTCTTTTCAATTGATAAACATGAAATGGAAGTTATAGAAGTAGAAGGTTCCTATACTAAACGAAATAAGATTCATCGTCTTCCTATCAATGTTGCTCAGAGATATTCCGTTATTGTTACCGTAAACCAACCTGTTGATAATTATATAATGCGATCGGAATTTCAAAAGAAATGTATGCCAGACGATGCCAAAAAACTTTCAATTGTAAAAGCTATTGTACATTATGATGGAGCCCCAGAAGATTCTGCGCCAAAGGACGTACCATGGAAAGATTTCTTGGAAGAATGTATTGATTTAAAACATGAAACTTTACAGCCATTATATGAAGAAAACCTTCCTAAAGCAACAAAAGAGATGGAACTTACAATCGCTTTTCATAATGATTCATCAGGGGTTGTTAGAGCTTTTTTTAATGAATCTTCTTATGTGCCCGATATAAAATTTCCGACATTATCAAGAATCTTTGCAGGAAAAGCGAATAACTTGCCACGAGATAGAAATGCCTATATTTTTGATACTCCTGGAGAAGTAGTTGATATTACTTTTATCACTAAGGATAATTATCATGGTTATTTTTAATTATTATTTAAAAGAGATTTTAAATAACACGTTCGTTTAGATACTGACGAAGGAGACCACCCGTTTCACATGGTAATTTTAAATTATGTTATTGTTCTGTCGATTAGCAAATATGCGGGATTTTAATGACCTATGATAATTGGTCACCGCAGTATTCCTGATCGGACTATGACTTTCAATTTCCACTAACTATTAATGGTTACCCCTACGGACACATCAGGAGTCAATTGTAACAATTGTAATATGATCACGTTAGTGCATTAAAGTAGGATCGACGCGTATTTATGTGTGTGCACGTGACGTTCCTGATAATGAATTCTTGATATTCTGCTGAATATGTAAACATATTGATCTTCAATTATATATATAAATAGTAAATCGAGTAATAAAAAAAGCAGGAATGAAGAAAAAGCATGAAATTGAGATGAATAACTTACTACAAATCAAGAAATTTAGTTCATTCTTTATTATATTTGGTTTCCTAATGATGCGTTTTAAATCATTAAAAGGTTTATTAAAGACCAATTTATTTTTTCATGCTAATCTGTTTATGATCTATTATGACTTAAAAACTTATGATTAATAAACATAAGTAGAACATTATAAGCTTAATATATTATATATTATATAAAATAGGTATAAAACCATATGTATATATAAATGAAGCGTTTTTGATAAAAATATTTACTATTCATTAATAATTGAAAATGTAAAACTCACTTTTAGCCACAGCATTAAGTGCTATTACGAACAATAACAATAAAATTGCTACTCATGATGATAATTCTAAAGAAAAAATTGGGGAATGTATTAAATATAATAATAAGTCTTTTTTAGTTGGAGGTAAAGTATATACATCACCCCGAGATGGAGATATATACGTTGAAACATTATCCGGTATGACTGTATCATTATATGTTGATTTCAATGATACACTTGATCAAGTAAAGGCGAGAATTCCAATTGAAGGTGTATCACCAGATCAAACAAGATTTGTTCTTGACGACAAACAACTTGAAGATGAACGTACTCTAACAGATTACGATATGCAAGATAATTCTACGCTACAATTAGTTTTGAAATTAAGAGATGACGACAGCAGTGATTGTAGCTTTACACTTTCAATCTAATCATATTGCTCCAAAATATGATCGTGATTTTACGGATGTAAATGATAATGGAGAAACTTTTATGCGGGGAGATTTTAGGTATAAACGACCTTGTGGTTGGAAGAGATTTGCTATCAATGTTCTTGATAAATATGAAGATAACATTTGGTTAGGTGCTGATAAAAGTAGACAATTCCCAACAAGTTCAGTACAAGATGAGTGGCCAGGTATTTGTTATTTATAGTAAATTTCTCTTATCTATGTCAATTTCTTTCAAAGTTCAAACAATTCATTTATTTTTAATAGTATCTTATCATGGAACTGCCGAACATAATTGTAATTCAATCGCTAGAGATGGAAATTTCTCTTGTAAGAAACCATTACCATTTGGATACAGATTTTATTCCACTCCAGATATTGATGTCGCATCTAAATATGCCATTAAATTTACTTATGAAGGAGATGACTATCTGGTTGTGTTCCAAAATAGAGTTAACCCAGAGAATTTGATTAGAATTTCAAATATAGAAACTGGAATCGGTGAATATTAGATTTCACCCGATGGGAATAATTTACGTCCTTACGGTATCTGTATTAAGAAAATCGAGTAATTATTTTAAATTAACCTTTTTTTTATATATAAAATCTTTAATATATTTAAATAAATTTATTTATCACACTGGTTTATTATTTTATGTACTAAACATTTGAGGTGAAGATTCTCAGAACGCGGTTAATTGATAAAGTTGGAATAAAAATAATAAATTTAACTTATCGACATACAATTTCTTTGAATTATCCCCTCATCTGTAACGCAGGCAAAATTTGCTTGCGAACTTTTTGAATTTAAATTACTATATATTAAGCGTGATCCGGTCAAAATCTCGAATTCTAATGCTGGCCAAAATATCACGTGATTCCGCATAATTCTGCATAACGCGGGCCAACTGTCGGGATTTTGACCCATTCGGGATTTTGACCCGTCGCGATTTAGACCCATAACCATATTAAGCATATTATAATATGGCAAAATTGGCATAACATTGCACAACTCTTCATCTATAATGCATCCAATTTTGAAAATTTAAATTTTATGTGATAAGCAAAAATTAGCAATAAATTATTATCGCAAATATCTCGCAGGCAAATTTGCATGCGAAATTTTTAAATTGGTTTATGAAACTCTTTACTTAAATTTTTATGTAAAAGTCATTGAAATATTTATTTACGAGCATGCAGGGAATTATGATTTTGTGTTATGTATTATAAAATTGCAGGCAAATTTGCCTGGGAATTTCATGATCTTTGGCAATTTTTCGTAACACGCAAAATTCCATTAGTAATGTAACGGACTATACTAGTACTATACTTTTAATGAAAGTAAATTATTTTAAATTTTTTTTTTCTGGAAAACTAAGCCCTAGATGGCCGCCTTAGCCATTTTTTTATATTATCATTTTTTATTTTTTATTTTTTTATCATTACTTTATTATTTCATTTATCTTTATTTTTTTTATGTCACCTGTAAAGTAGATGTTATAATATCACTAATTGAGAAAATGTTGATACAAGTTTGGAAAAAATTTCTTGGAATAGATAAATAAAGTCGGAATACAAATTATATTGTATTCGTTTTTATTGATTAAATCATATAACAAAATTATAAATCATAACCTGTTCACAAAACACAAATAACAAGTCAGGTAATTTATATAATAGATATAGATAATTAATTTGATTTCAAATATTTTAATACAGAAAATTAAACTATTTGTTTTTCTACTTAATAAGAAAAATACTTTCTGTTATCTAAACTACAGGATATATTACTAAAACAAATACAATTACTTCTGTGAATTCTTCCAATAGTAATCAATCATCTGATTTATTATTCCCAGGAACATTTATCATAAACTATAGACTTATTTAAAGTTTCTACAACAACTAAACCACCTTCTCGTAAATGAAAATGTATATCGTTACAATATATCCCATTTACCCAGCCATCCCACCAAAAATATGGGCCATTATGAAATGTACCAGCCACTGTATGTATAGAGAGTTTATATCCTATTGACCAATTTGCTGGAGATGTCTTTGATGAAAAGAGTTCAGCTGGTATGTCGCATTCAGTCGATATCTCATTTTGATGATAATCGTACCAATGAATGCATATTCTATTTATAACCGAATTAACTCCTCGTGGATTAAACGCTACTCTATGTTGGGGATATGAATAGGAAGTATTGATAAGAGATAATAAAATTATCAATAATCCTAAATTTTGTACGAACATCATAATTAATAAATACTATTCTTTTATAAGTAAATTAATATTTTACCATACGACTCTAACTCTCAACTTATAATAAAATTTTGGCCTATATATACAGAAATTCATTATTAAGTCACGTGACATAAATGATCATAATAAAAAGTCTTGGCATTAATTGTAACGTTTTACCCCTTGTAAATAGTCTTAGATTCACTACTCTTTTAGAAATAAAATAAATAAATTAATAACGTTTTACCCCTTTTTTCTTTTTAAAAATGGTTTTTTTTTTCAACAATAATTCAAAGGAACGTGAAGAACTCGTGAAGTTCTATAAGGAAAAAGGAACTGTAAACAAATATAAAGGAGGACTCCGCCAGACGTGTGCGATACTTTTTACTCCGAAAAAAGATTAGCAATAATATTTAGTTGATTTTACTTCTGAGCCTATGATTGGTTCTTTCTCTGAAAAAACTTATTTTTGAGAGAGGGCATGTTTCTGATCACTGTGATCCCTGTTAGGAAATATAAATGATATACTGCCTGTCTCTTATACACATCTAGATGTGTATAAGAGACAGTTTTTGAGAGAGGGCATGTTTCTGATCACTGTGATCCCTGTTAGGAAATATAAATGATATACTGCAAATCAGTACTATGGTATCTTGATTTAAATTAACTTTTCTCACTCTATTTTTGAAATTTCAAAGGTAATTTAAACACATACAGTATGTTTAAAGCACTCCTTCTCTTTTTTAAAATTGAATATACATACTGTATGTGTTTAAATTACCTTAAAATAGAGGGAGAAAAGTTAATTTAAATCAAGATACCATAGTACTGATTTGCAGTATATCATTTATATTTGATCACAGTGATCAGAAACTAACCGATCGATTGCATTCTTAACCCTTCCTTAGCGGTATCAGGACATTTCGCTGAAAGCCATTTCGCCGAAAAATAATCTCTGGCCTGAGTTATTTATAATTCTGCATAATGTTGGCCCTATTTTTCGGCGAAACGTCCTTTCGGCGAAATGGCTTTCGGCGAAATGTACCGTAACCATTCTTAACATGCTAATTTAAATTTGTTGTACGAGCCTCACTTTATTTGATAATCATTATCATAAACTCAAATAAAACTTTGATTAAATGTTTGTTTCAAACCATGAAAATGTAAAATAAATCTTGTTTTTTTATTATTAATTTTTTTTTTTTCGTAAATCGTAATGAATTCTAGTAATTAATAATCAATTAAATGACTGTAATAAATCTGTTTTTGTGTTATGGGTTAAATTGTAAATTAAACTCCCTAATCACTTTTTAATCTTACTAATTGAGACATTGAAAACTTTAATGAAAATATGATAAAAATTAATTGATGCAAGTAATCCAGTAATCTATGACAAAAACTTTTGGCCCGTTTCAGCGGATATAAATTTTTTTGCGATTATTTTGTATTTCATTCCGTCTAACGTCAAAAATCAAAATATTTTTATATCCGTCGTAACCTGTTATATTTCCGTATTTCTAGTTATTTACCTTGACGACTCTTAACGAACAATACCGACGTGCCAAGTGAGGCAGTATTGAGTAAGAATCCCATTGGTAATCATATAATTTTACGATATAATTACGCCAGTCATACGACTTTTATTTACTGTTACAGCTGGTAACAATATCACCACAATTTCTGAAAAAAAAAATCACATTAATATAAAATAGGTTTTTGTAAAGAAATGCTTTTTTCTCGTCTACCTTAACATATTAACAGTTCACAGATAATCCGTAACTAATTAGAAACACCATTAACATCTCTTGAATATATTACCACCAAGAAATTACACACTGGTTCTGACTATAAATAAGATATAATTTAATTAGTCCAAAAAATTATTCACATTAGCAATATATCTTGCCACTTAAATAAACCTGAGCTACATAGCGTAAACAAAAGATAATATGGCTACCGTCTATTATTTGAACTTGAGACGATGAGTCTGAAGTAGCAGCATTATACGCTATTATATTGAACTAGCTTGTTGATACCCCTGCATTTAGTATATTCTCGTGATCCTAATACATATAAGTGACATCATTATTTTTTACCGTAATTCTAGAACTGCAAAAATTGTAGTACTATATATACACTTATTATATTAGTACAATAAATATACTATCAATTATCTCAGTTTGTTTATGCAGATATTGAGATATTGTTGAATAGTAACGGGATATAAAAATTACATGAACGGCCCGCACTACGCGATTAATCATCAAGTGTTAAATAATTATTTATCTAAAAAAAAATTGTTTTCTAAAATAAACCAAACGTAAAATCAAAATATTTATAAGGCAAAAAAAATTTAAAATTTAAAGGAACATCGGCGTACTGTAACATGATTAATCTTATAATCTCAGGGTATGAAAAAATTTCATTATTCTGTAAAACCCTCAAAAACAAATTTACATAATTGTGGAAAAATGTCGTACCCTCACATAGTTACCCCCTATATAAGAACATCATATATAACGATAAGTACATAGTTTGGAGCTCTAGGTCAGACGAGCATTCCATGAAATAACACTATAAACCTCAGTAAAAGAAATTAAAAGGAACGACTTAATGTTACTAAAGTAAATCCAATCCTCTATATTTATATGAAATTTATGATCAGTAGCGGGACATTTTTTTTTTTACCTTGTTCGTTAACCAACTTTTCGGGAATATGAATCTTTGATAGAACAACACCATAATGTTTCCTAACTTTCTATATAAAGAGAATTTCTATTAAACCCATTAAACTGATTAAAATGGTTAAAACTATTAACCAGATTAAAACAATTAACCCGATTAAAATGATAAAAATGTACCTCAATGTTTCCTTATATCACTTTAAACGACATTAACCAAGTAAGTCTAAAAAGTTTATTAGAATTAAATTCTATACATTCTAAATAGATTACAAGTCCATCGGTTACTTCAAGAAAATAGATATAGTTTCAATACAGTCTTCCATAATAGATGCACCAGTATAGTTTCTTTGAAGGTTATCAAAATAAGTAGTCATTTTTCTTTTTTTTAAAAAAATAGAGAAATGATAACAAATAATAAAAGTTTGTTTTTTTTAATATATACAGTTATATTATATATAAATAATATATTGGATTTTGCGTAAAAGAAAGGCAAAGTTATTAAATGTGATGCTTAAAAAAAGTATGAACGGAGTTCCGTTATACTGAATTAGTAACGGATTCATGATACAGTATACTTGCATGA